TTGCACCCAACCAGACACCCAGGGCACAACTCCATAAAGCCATGGGATTGACGGACGCCTTCTAACATCCCGATCTAAACAGATGCTCTCTATTGATTCCCATTGACCTAGGGAATGGAAATTCATTCTTTAAACAGATGCTGCCTCTTCACCTCCGGCTGTCATGACCATCAAATGATCATTAGACTGATGATTTCACATGCCACCCGCTCGTGTCCTTCTGATGTTCACTACCAATCAGGGCGAGCAGTTTGCAATGTCGTACATGTGAGATATTTGTTTCCAAATTAACATCAAATGGTTGAATTCTTGTGGCTTTAAACAATGAAGAAAACAGCTGTGAAAACAGTTAACATTTTTAATTCAATTCCCTGTGTCTGTGACCTACGCAATGAGCATATATGAAGAAAAGAGACATATAGTATTCAATACTAATTATACAACAGAAATCCAATACTGAAAGATCTCGACCTGAATTTTAAAACACGGTGGCCTAAAGCCCACTCAAGACAAATTTCAGCACTCTCACATTTCGTCCTTCTAAGGGATAATTTGCTAACTACAACGTGCACCTGAGTTTCTAAAATACATGTAATTTCCTTCCACAATCAAAGGCCGTTCTTAGATCTTAATCACAGAAATTCAGTTTTCTTTGCAATAAACATCGTTGCAAGTCTCTCATGAAGGGGTATTAACAAAGGTTAGGCAGACAAGACGTAAGTTCACAGCTAAATGAATTAAGTGTGTGGACTTAAGCGAAACGTTACATGTAAAGACTGGAGTTGGAATGTCCTGTGACGTGACCGAATCCCATCAGGCAGGAGGAGGAGGAGGAAGGTTCAGGAGGGGATTGTAGTACTAGTTGTAATAGTAGTTGTGGTAGTAGTAGTTGTAGTAATTGTAGTAGTAGTAGTAGTAGCAATAATAATAGAAGTAGTAATAGTAATAGTAATGGTAATAGTAGTAGTGGTAGTAGTAAAAGGAGTAGGAGGAGGAGGAGGAGGAATAGGAGGTGGAGGTAGGAATAAGGAGAAATAGGAGGAGGAAAACAAAGGAAGAGAAGGAGAACGATGAAGAATATGATCAAGAGGAAAGAGAAAAAAGGAGGCGAAAGTAGGCGACAGAAGGAGGAACGAAATCCCACACGCCTCACTCCAGGCAACATTGAAGGTCATCAACTTTTTAGTCCTAACTTCTTGTTTTTAAATTCTTACCTTATTTTCAAAATATTTTCAAATCGTCTTTATTCATTATATTCGTTGTTATTTTTCATTTTAGTTATTTCATTTGCAGTCTTATTTTCCATTTTATTAGTCGTTTTCTAACGACTTTCTTGTTGTGCCTCTCATTGTCGTCTTATTTTTATTAGTAATAGTAGGCATCCATCAGTCTCAGGAGACTATGGAGTTGCCTAATAATAATAATAAAAACATTATTATTATTATTATTATTATTATTATTATTATTATTATTATTATTATTATTATTATTATTATTATTATTATTATTATCTTCTTCGTGTTTATCATATTACTGTTATCTTAACAATTATTTTTTTCATTTATTATTGCCATCGTTGTCATATTGTCACCTTCACCTCGTGCCATAAACAAGAACCTCCAGTCACAACGATCTCAATTAAAACACATCGAGACTCCTTCAGCGCCATCTTCACTTCATGAACGCATAGAAACGCGAGCGTCGTGAGTAATGGAGATCAGGCTCTCTTTGGCTACTCAAGAACATCAGCATCCGAGGCCATTCTGGGCTGCGCAGTGCCGTAGGAGGATGGCCAGGCTTGTCTCAATAGGATTTACGGTCGTGTCCATTGACACGAGAGAATATTGCTCAGGGATGTGTGGCAGGATTGAGGCCTTGAGATTGCGAGGAAGTGAGGCATAAGGAGCTAGGAATGATATTAATTATAAGTATAAGTTGTAATACTAATAAGTATAAAATATAAAATTATATATATATATATATATATATATATATATATATATATATATATATATATATATATATATATATATATATATATATACAGTGTATTAACTGGAATGAACAATGTTAGTAGAGAGCATAAGAAATAGTGCTAGAAAGAATGAGAGTGTGAATTTGCAAAGGAAGTTTTCCCAAATTGATTGAATTGTTATCTACAAAATAATTTATTTCGAATACAAATGAACTAATAAGTGGTTGCATACATACACACACACACACACACACACACACACACACACACACACACACACACACACACACACACACACACACACACACACATACAAACCTGAATCACATCCCCTGGCAGCACATCTAGGCGAGTACACAAGCCGAACCAATCATCCAGGAAACGCGAAATCCCAGCAGTAAGATGCCAAGAATCACCCAGGAGTATATGATATTCAACCATTATATTTGTAATGAACGCTAGCAGACTTGTTCTATTTCGGGGCGTCACCAATACCAGAATATTACTGCTGCTAGTGACGCCTGCGGGGGTATTGTGGGTGACATCGATACGTCGTTTCGTCCACCTTTTGTCTCGAAGCCTCGGTGCCGGTGATATTGGCGGTAGTGAATGCATGGGATCATATATCATTCAGGCGTGTCCATGCTGGGTGTGTTTTATTTGTATTTCTGTTTTGTATACTGAGCTATCTTTGTCTCTATCTTTATTGCTCTCTATATTTTCTGCACTACTATCTTTATCTCTCTTGCTCTATCTTTATCTCTATTGATCTCTCTTTATCTCTATTGTTCTATCTTTATCTCTGTGGCTCTCTCTTTATCTCTTTTGCTCTCTCTCTCTCTCTCTCTCTCTCTCTCTCTCTCTCTCTCTCTCTCTCTCTCTCTCTCTCTCTCTCTCTCTCTCTCTCTCTCTCTCTCTCTCTCTCTCTCTCTCTCTCTCTCTCTCTCTCTCTCTCTCTCTCTCTCTCTCTCCGTTTCACACACGTAAACCACCCACCGTTTCTGACTCATCCTGTGTCCGCCCTGACTCACTCTGTATATCCACACCCACCATCTGTTCTGATACCATTGATATTCAGTAATCCATCAAACGACTTGGGAGATGAAGATATCTTTTAAATTATAAAGATATCTTTTGAACATTGAAGATGTCTTGGTGAATAATGAAAGCTTACTTTGGATAATGAAGGTGTCTTTTGGATGAAGAAGATATCTCTTGCATAATTAAGGAATGTTTTCAATAATGCAGATAACTATATATCTACTTTTGACAAAGTAGATATACGTTTGTCCTTGACCCTAAGTTGCGGATAGGGCAATATAGCCATTATTATAGGCGTTTAAAAATAAAATCTTAATGATAGTTATTAAAATAATATTAAAAATAAAACAATATTGATAACAGAGATACTATTGAGAAAATCCACTGGAGCACTGAGAAGGCTCGAACCGGCGACGAAGGAACTCCCAGCCGCTCACCTTAGCCCCTGTACCAAGACTTGTTTTAAATAATACAATCTGGGAATCCACTGAATCCACAGAAAGTATTGAGGCTTCCACTTAGTCGCTTGTGGCGGTGCAGTGGTAAGGTCAGCAATCACCTCGGTGCTTCCGTTGATTTTCTCATTTATATCTCAGCGAAATTTCTTTGTCTTAAAGATGCTATTGATATAATTAACAGCATAAAATAATAATTGCATTAATTTTAATTCAAATAATTTTAATGATAACAATAATAATACCAATAATAATAATAATAATAATAATAATAAAATAATAATAATAATAATAATAATAATACCAATAATAATAATAATAATAATAAAATAATAATAATAATAATAATAATAATAATAATAATAATAATAATAATAATAATAATAATAATGCCGCTGATAATAATGTTATAGCAACAAGGGAGTGGATACGATCACCAAGCATGATATCCTCGCTGTCTACGCTACCACCACCTTCGACATCGGTGTGTAATGTTTGTATACTTCTATTAGGCGTTAATATCCTCGGGGCGGTGAACCTGGGGTGTTCATCAACACAAAAGACATATGATTGGTGAGCATTTTACAAGGTCCACACGTTGTAACTACCCGTATTTAGCGTCTTTAGAAGCCCCTTCCTCAAGAATGCACAACCAAATATGATGTTCCAAATTTAGCTACGGGAGAAGTGTTTCATTTGCACGAGCTCTGGAATTTCAACGATTTTATTAATGGCAATATACATAATTACAGAACTGTTTTTAGCAACTAATTTAGCACGGATGACAGTAACTTGTTTGAACACAAGTAATCCATTCCTCATATAGAGACAGGAAAGCGGCGACGGAATGGCCGATCTTGGACCCTCATCTTCCCTAATTTGTTTTATTTTTACTTTAAGTATTCCCACATTACTACAGTCACCCGCACAGAGAAGGTCAGTCGCAGACACTCGTGTAACGACCGTGTGTGAAGTCCATATATTATATTATAATATTTTATATTATATTATTATATTATATATTATATATTATATTATATTATATTATATTATATTATATTATATTATATTATATTATATTATATTATATTATATTATATTATATTATATATTATATTATATTATATTATATTATATTATATTATATTATATTATATTATATTATATTATATTATATTATTCCGTTGTTTCATTAGTCCGCAACATTTTAATTGGCAGAACAGACTATTTCGTGATATGGTTCAGTGAATATATTATAATACTGCTGATGTCTGGTTCATCAATATGCGGATAATATTCCCAAAGGGGCGCTGCGCAATTTGTTTAAAAGAATACATTATAAAATATCCTAACCTAACACTAACAAGTTAACCTAACCAAATATAACTATAACTAACCTAACCTATTCCTGTTCATAAGTCTTGCTAAGGGCTGGGGGTTGAACGTTGCCTTTGGAACAATCATCATCGACCGATGAGCGAATACACTCTGTTAAATTAATACTGTGTATGGTATTATGAGGGACTTACCAGGCATTAGAGTTCCATGGTTCACTCTGCACGCCAGAGTGACGAGAGTTCCGGCCTTAACGTACAGTTCGTTGCTGCCCACGATCTCCGCTTGCATCTCTGAAGAGGAGTAACAAGGCGGGGTTCAGTGGACGGTAGATGTTAATCGCAGGTAATATAGTGCCATTATATTAATATATATATATATATATATATATATATATATATATATATATATATATATATATATATATATATATATATATATATACATACACACACACACACACACACACACACACACACACACACACACTGAGAGGTGTAACCCGCTTCCGGTGTATAAACACTGAGAGTTACTTTAGGCCTCTAGTATATTCTGGACTAAAGTATACTCTTCTGCAGGCGATGAGTCACAATAACGTGGCTGAAGTATGTTGACCAGACCACACACTAGAAATTGAAGGGACGACGACGTTTCGGTCCGTCCTGGACCATTCTCAAGTCGATTCAATATCGACTTGAGTAATATACTCTTCAATATACTCTTCTGGTTGGTCAGTCATCTATTGTGTAGACCTTAATTGCATTCAAGAGGTTGAGACGGCCTTAATAAGCCACGAGAGGTTGAAAGACCTTAACATCCCTCAAGTCGTTGATAGGCCTAATAACTCTTCATCGGTGTTCAGATCTTAATATTCCTCGAGAGGTTGATAAGCCTTAATAACTTTCAAGAGATAGATACGACTCAATAACCCTTTAGAGGTTAACTGCACTAAAAACTTTAAAGTTCTATAAGCTTGATAACAACGTTGACAGATACTTACCCATATCGTTAACACATACTTCTCTCAACTTTGACAGACAAAACAACGTTTACAGATACTTGATTCACAACTTTTTGAGAGATCCAGACCCATAGCGTTAAGACGTAATATCAACGCTGCAAAAATACTCACTGACAACGTTGAGGTGAACGACTTGCGATATCCTGGGCTCAGTGTTGATCTGACAGATGTAGGTGCCAGAGTCCTCCGGTTTGATGTACTTGATCTGAAGGGTGTAGTCCTCGGGCTCCCAAACGCCTTCGATGTAATTAGGGCCGGGTTGGGCCCCCTTTTTCTCCATGCCCTGGGTGAATGGTCCTTGGGGGTATATGGCGATGGGGCTGTTGTACTGGGCGTAAGCTTGTGGTTCTCCGCTTTTGGGGAATTTATCGAAAGATTGGTCTCGCTTGGTATGCTTTCTTCCGGTGAATTGCTTATGGTTCTTGGAGTGGTGGTGATACTCCGTATTCCAGTAGTTGAAGATATTTTCTCTGCGGTTACGACGCTTGCTTCCGTGCGTCTCTGGTCGATAAATGTTTCTCTCAGGTACATTACCTCTGATATGAGTCAGTTTTACCCTATTTCGTCTCTCTTTTCTCTTGTATCTTCTCCGACGAATACTGAACTGAGAGTCCTGGAAATTTTGACCCGCATTAGGAAATGGATTGGAGTCTCTGCGGGAAATTTGTCTTTTGGTGCTCGTTTCTTGTTCGAAGTCACTTTTGTTCACGAAGTTGGCACATGGGTAATGAGAATGATAGGTACAGTGGTGGCATTTAGCCAGTCGCTCACCCGTTGGATCAACATACGTGCTGTTGGGTACGTCGGCGACATACCCACGACTGTACGCACGGGAGAGTGAGCGAGATTTCCTGGTCTTGAATTTTGTTGTGCCAGACAGAACGGAGATCCGCAAGTCGGTGGAGAAGGTGACTCGACCTGTAGAAAGCACTTGCAGGTCACGGCCTCTGATCCACGATACCTGGGAAAAGAATATGGTGTTTTTATTATGTGTTGTGATTACTCGCCTCATTCAAGATTTGTTAGAATTGAAGCATAAATAACTGTGACTATTAATTAAATTTGTCCTCTACTATAATATTGCAATTGTTGTTAATGTTATATTCTTATTAATTTTTTTTATTTTGTGGTATTGGCTACTAATTTGCAAGTTTTGGAATTATTGAAATGTCAGCATGTTTAATAAGTGATGGATTAAGTAGATATTCCACAAGAAGGAACCAATCTGATTCTCCCGAGGAAAGCGGGTGCCAATTAAGTGACTCAGATATTGCTTCATTACGGACTACCCTGAGAGTACTTTTTTTTAAAGTTGTCTCTTATTAGCTGCAAGATGAAGCCTGAGATACCTAGTGCTTGAAGCTTTGCTAGTAGTCGAGTGTGGCATACCCGTTCCTCTGGAATGTCCAGTGCAACAACGTAGCTTATCTTAGAGTCATACAGTAATTAATACCATTTGGAGAAGTTCAACAAAACGTCAGCAAATGAACGGCATTTTCTGAAACCATATTGTCGATCACAGTAACCGATGTGATTAAAACAAAAGTCTGTATTTGTTGTGAGATTATAGTCTCAAGAATTTAATCATTATCCGATCAATGAACGGCTCTTTCGGATTAGAACTACATATGCCTTCTATATTCCTTGATAATTGCAGAGTTTGTGAAGACGAGTGAAAGGCAAACAAATAGGTTTTCACAACTGTGTAACAATGTATGGCTGACCATTTCCGGCCTAACCGCTCTACCTATCCTGAGTGATTTTAAGAAGGCAGTTAATTTAAACCTGTTCAATAACCACTACTAAAAACTGGACAGCGTGCTTGAATCAAGCTGTGGAGTTTTACGTTCTAGCCCAGGCGCCAGTATCTTGTCAGCTGAATGGTCTTCCAGTTGGTCAGCATTTTCCTGATTGCTGGTTGCCACATTCCCATCTATTCGATCTTGTGTTGGGACTGTGTTCCCGATTGAATATTCCTGCCTGTCTTTAATCAAGCACCACCAGACTTTGTAACGAAATATTTTCTGATGCAATATCAGAAGTCTTGGTCAAATACTGCCGGGGAAGAATGTGAAGAAATGGAGATCCATTTTGATTTGTCTACATATAAATGCATTCACACATATCTATGCCAGTAAAACAGTCGATTAAAGGCTTATATCTAAATAGGAAAATAATTTCAGCACACAATAGTTTTCTTGCACTCTTGAAGTTGCTCTCATAAACCAACACTTAAAGAGTCTACTTATCTACACGACACCCAAAATGAGGAGACTAAAATCTTGCCTTTTAACATCACTTATAACACAAGTTTAACCAAGACGCAGTTTGAACTTGACACTAAGACTTGTTTGTTAAAGATTATTTCATTTATGAACTATGGTTCAGGATTCTTAATGTTTTGTAAATAAATATGTAAAAGAATAAAGGTTGTGAGGAAGAGTTGTGGTGGAAGGGGCTGAGAGGGATGAGGATGGGTCGTGGTGGAAGAGGCTGAGAGGGATGAGGAAGGGTCGTGGTGGGAGGGGCTGAGAGGGATGAGGAAGGGTCGTGGTGGAAGGGGCTGAGAGGGATGAGGAAGGGTCGTGGTGGGAGGGGCTGTGAGGGATGAGGAAGGGTCGTGGTGGGAGGGGCTGTGAGGGATGAGGAAGGGTCGTGGTGAGAGGGGCTGAGATGGATGTGAAATGAAGGGATGGAAGGGGGAGTAGGGTAGAAATGAGAGTGTGTTGTGGTCGGTGGTGGTGGTGGGGGACGGGGTGATAGGAGCAGAGCTGGTGGCGGAGTCAATACCTGCACGCTATAAGCCCAGGCTCGTTCAGCACCACACCCCTCTAGCCAGATGGATAGGCAGGCAAATGGCTAGGAAGTCAGCTGGCTAGGAAGTCACATAACTACGATGTTAGATAGTTGCAGCCAGATGCCCATTTAACCAGATATCCAGTCAATCACCTAGTCAGATAGCCATCCAGAAGGTCACCTAGCAGATGAACAAATCCACAAAGGCCGTGACGAGGATTCGAACCTGCGTCCGCGAGCATCCCAGACGCTGCCTTAATCGACTGAGCTACGACATGGTCAAAAGGAGTTCAAACCGAAGTTCTACGGAACATACTGTGATTTCTGTGTGTCACCTAGCAGATATTCAGCCAGCCAGCCAGCCATGTTGCTACCCCAACCAGAAGGTAATCCAGCTAGCAACTAAACCACATAACTAGCATTATGGTCAGAGAGATGGCCAACCAGCAATCAAAACTGTCAACAGTCAAGCCATCCAGTCAGTTCACCATTTAACAAATCAAGTACTCACTCACTCACACCTCAAACACTCCCCAATCCCCCCATTTCCCCCCTAACAACGCACCAATACTCAACAACCCGCCCACAGGCTACACACACGCCCACAAGTCACAAGCCCACAAGTCACACCCCCCCACCCCTGCAATCATAATCCCCAGCACCTATTTAACCCCCACCCATCACCCACCCTCCACCAACCTGGACACCCTGACGTGACTTATACACCCTTCCCGACACTACCGAGGAGTTATTTTTTGCCAGGCCTGATGAACGGCGCGCACAGTGGCGTCTAGTGGGCACAAAGCATTACTGGAACCATTTGCTGGGCGCCTTGTGTTTAGCTCTCTAATAGACTATATTTATAGAGAGAACTGGTTAAAGAATGAGGAGTCAAGCGTGTTAGTAGTGATCAATGAAGTATAATAATGACATAAAGAGATAGAGGTAAAAGATAGAGAGAGAGAGAGAGAGAGAGAGAGAGAGAGAGAGAGAGAGAGAGAGAGAGAGAGAGAGAGAGAGAGATAGAGAGAGACATAGAGAGAGAGAGAGAGAGAGAGAGAGAGAGAGAGAGAGAGAGAGAGAGAGAGAGAGATGAGAGAGAGAGAGAGAGAGAGAGAGAGAGAGAGAGAGAGAGAGAGAGAGAGAGAGAGAGAGAGAGCGAGAGAGAGAGAGAGAGGAGAGAGAGAGAGAGAGAGATAGAGAGAGAGAGAGAGAGGGAGAGAGAGAGAGAGAGAGAGAAGAGAGAGAGAGAGGAGAGAGAGGAGAGGAGAGAGAGGAGAGAGAGAGGAGAGAGAGAGAGAGAGAGAGAGAGAGAGAGAGAGAGAGAGAGAGAGAGAGGAGAGAGAGAGAGAGAGAGAGAGAGGGAGAGAGGAGAGAGAGAGAGAGAGGAGGAGAGAGAGAGAGAGAGAGAGAGAGAGAGAGAGAGAGAGAGACTCCTACTTCGAATTATTAGATTAATTTGATGTTAATAATTAGTAATCACAAATTTGTGTCTCTTCGTACAGGACGGATGTCCCGTACTAGAGTTGCAGGGGTTTGAAGTCTAATGTGATTTCATTTCCCTGTTAACTCTTTTGGGAGGCTAAAATTCTAACCAAATTACATATTATTTAACCCAGAGGACTGAATGTGATCAAGTACTACAGTCAAGGATTCAGGGACTGCAGTGAGATCAGTGACATTAGTTATAATAACTTGAAGCTTGTTCAGTTACTGGTCACTGATATATAAACAGTGAGGCCCATGGAATTCATCTTGATTAAGTAATAAATGTATCAAAGTCTGTCGATGGATTAATTGGGGTTTAATTTAGTTAGTTGATTCAGAGAATTGTATATTCAATCATTAAAGTCAAGTATGGTTCTGAGACTGCAGTGGGTTCAGTGACATTGGTCGCAGACTTGTAGCTGTTTAGGATACTGCTCACTGATTTGCCACTGAGGTCAAATGAACTCATCTTTAACTTTAAATGATGATAATAAGATCAACCTCTTTTGCTATAGTCAGCTGAAATCTTCTTAGTATAATGATACTGGAGATATATAATCAGGTGACAAATTTAGATTACTACTGGTGTTGTTTATCTACAGGTATAGGTCTCCTCAGGCTTAATACTGGGCCTGAGAGTAATTTGCCACCTTCAGAATTTAACATGGTTATGCCCTGATATTTAGTAGGGCTACCGATGAATCGATGGTAGTAGATTGTTCCTACAAGGATACCGAAGTCGGTGAGGTGATCAGACTTAATATTATCTGCCAATTTAATTCCTATATTTCTCAGAAATTTGGCTGTTGCTCCCAGACCATATACGTGTAGGTCTGCTGGTATTTTGTCCACCCCAATGGCTTGTACTTGACAGACGTTGCTGCCTAATCGTACTAATGGTTGTACCACCTGGTAGACTTGAGGTCCTGTATCTGTTAGAAACCCTGGGATATTGATTGTCATCTGTGCTACAGGCCTTAATTGTAGTTCATTTGCCACCCTTTTAGTGACAAGTTCTCTGGGATCCTTGGTCAAACAACCAACGGGTATGGACCTTGGCCATCTTTTTCTGGATGGTAATTTGGGCAGTAGGCAAAGTCGCATTTCTTTTGGACTCTGCCGCTTGGACGCTGATTTTCTCTCGCACCTTGCAAAACTGTACCGTGGTGGGAATGCTATCTTCCACTTTAGAGTTTGAAGACTTTG